CTTGTTTATGTTTAAAGTGAGGACTGCTTTAGCAAAAAGTAAAAGTAAAAGGAGGACAGTCTCATTCTGCTTGGAAGAGCCTTCCTTTGAGTGTTGTCCTGTTTTATCCTCTACTAGAACAAGTTTTCTTCCCTTGTTACAGCTCACCAATGTGTAGTGTCTCTAAAAAGTTTCTGGATACTGGTCAAGGTATATTCAAAGGAACAGCTTGCAAGCTAGCACACATTATCAGAATACACTTTTCTCCATTTTATAGATGAGGAAATTGAGTAATAGAGAGATTAAGTATTTTGCACAAACCCTTGCAATGAAGCCAGGATATAAACAGTCTGATTTCAATGTCTATGATTTTTCCATCTGATGACAGCAAATCTAAACCCAGGGTTCTTAACTGCATGTTTGTGCCCGAAGTTCAGGGAGACTATGAAATTTACACTATGTAAATGTCTCAAGGTAGCACAACATAAACATTTTTTTTCTGAGGAGAAATCTGAGCAAATTCAAAGGAGTCATTGGCATGAAAAAAGTTAAAAAGCAGTGCACCTGAACAATTAAAAAGCAGGAAGATTAGCCATAAATCTTACATGACTCTTTTGTGCAAGTATTAGGTTAGAGCTGTCAGGTTTGAGTTCGTGTCGTGTTCCCTGGTTCTTGGTTCCCAGTACAGGAGAATGGTTACTGGTACTGAGTGGATGGAATGAATGAGCAAGCCCAACAGCAAGATTTATTATAGCATAGTACGTTCCGGAGTGTGAACAGCTCTACCTAGTGGAGAAGTCCCTAGGTTTCTAACATATTTCTACTTTAATGTCTATGTGTTATGGTATGCTAAACAGTGGGAAGAATTTTCACTATTTTTCACGGATGAGGGGTAGAGATTCCTGGAACTGAGGACCCTCCCCCTTAATCTGTCCTTATAGGATGATAACTTCCAGGGGTTGCCATGACATTTGTAAGCTCTCACAGTGCTCATGGGTGTGATTTATACTATGTTAATGAAGACAGTTTACCCAAAGTCATTGCCAACTCCTTTAGGTCCATGTTCCAAGTTGTTTGTTTCTGTGGTTGGGCCATCTCCTCAGTTTGGGGTCTTCTTACCCTCCTCTAATTGGCCAGCAATAGTATCTCTATGGAATCTCCCACACCTCACCCCTGCACCTATTTCCCTTTCCTCCTGGTCCCTACCTAACAGAAACACCTGTGAATGCCTAGCTTTCAATTGTAAGTAGTCCTGTTACATAACAAGGTGCCCTATTTACCTGTATTATCCCAGGAAACATGCTTACTTTGTACCTTTTTCCTTTAAATATCTTTTTTAAAAAGTACTTGATGTGCAACTCATTGATGTGAACCTACTATTCCATTACATCCATCCTATTACATTCCAAGGTAAGCATGATAAATTCTTAACTGATGCCCTTACCATATCCAGTGTCCCTAGATTCTAATCTACAATTAACAGGACAACTTAAACTGCAGAATGTGAACTGAACATTTAAAATCAAATTCCTGATCCTAGCTCTTGACGTAAAAGTTCTATCAAGACCTCTCAAAGTCTAAACCTAATGTTCAATTTAAAACATCTTAAATGTATGTACAATAAAATTCACTTCTTAGGGATGTACAGTCTTATCATTTTTAAGACATGCATAACCACCACCACTAACAAGATATAAAACAACTCCAGCACCTCAAAGAATTCCCTTATGATACCCCTTTGCAGTCAGACCTTTCCCCTACTCTCAGTCCTTGGCAACTACTGATCTGTTCTGTTTCTATAATTTTGCCTTTTCTAGAATATCATATAAATGGAGCCATATGGTATAAAACCTTTGGAAACTGACTTCTTTTACCAAGCACAATGCATTTAAAATGTATCCAAGTTGTTGCATGTGTCAATGTTTGTTCCTTTTTATTGCTGAGTAGTATTCCATTACATGGATATATCACAGTTTGTTCATATATTCACTCAGTGAGGGAGATCTGGGTTATTTCCAGATTTGGATGATTATGAATAATGCTACTATAGGCATATTTTTTTTTGGAGACAGAGTCTCACTCTGTTGCCTAGGCTACAGTGCCATGGCGGTGGCCTAGCTCACAGCAACCTCAAACTCCTGGGCTCAAGCAATCCTCCTGCCTCAGCCTCCCGAGTAGCTGGGATTACAAGCATGTGCCACCATGCCCAACTAATTTATAGATAGATAGATAGATAGATAGATAGATAGATAGATAGATAGATTTTTTTTAGTTGTCCAGCTAATTTATTTCTATTTTTTTTTTAGTAGAGACAGGGTCTCACTCTTGCTCAGGCTGGTCTCGAAGTCCTGAACTCAAATGATCTTTCCACCTCGGCCTCCCAGAGTGCTGGGATTAAAGGTGTGAGTCCCCATGCCTGGCCTATAGGCATATTTGTACACAGACTTTGGTGAAGTTTTCACTTCTCTAGGATAAATACCCCAAAGTGAGATTACTAGGTGATATGGTTAAGGGTATACTTAACTTTATAAGAAACTGCCAAATTTTTCTAGTGGCTATACCATTTTGCATTTCCACAAGCAATGTATGAGTTGTTGTCCTCTATTCTTGCCAGCACTTGGTTATTTTTAATCTTATCCATTCTAATGAATGTGTAATAGTATCTCAATGTAGTTTTAGTTTGTATTCCCTTAAGTGTTCAAATTTGGTCTAGCCTTTGTTAGCACTGTTTGAGCAATACTGTACAACAGAAACTTTAGGAGTACATGGAAAGTACACAAAAATATCAAAGCCAGCCAGTCCTTTCCTATTAAAGACAAGGAACTAAGGCCCAGAGAGGGGAAGTGATATGCCTAAAGTTTCAGACCTTTACTTTTTCTAACAGTTCTTTTTAATCATGGTAACATAAACAAACTATCCAACTCCCGGGCTTTCTTTAAACAAGACAAAATAAACCATAAAAACACCATAAGCCCCACAAATAACTAATACGGTTCTATCTTGATGTTGATTTGCAAAAGGCAACCAGAATAATCATTTCCATATCAAAACAGAAATGGCAGGAGTTAGAGGTATTAAGGCCCATCATTAGGTTTCTAAAAAGGTTCTCATGCTCTATATAACATCCAAATATTCTGAACTCTAAACATCAGCAATACAGAAGTTTCTTGGACAATGTATTAATTTTTTTTCTCTTCTTGGACATTCTATTAATAAGAAAAAGACAAATGCTTTCTCCCTTCATTTAATTTTACAGTCCATACTTTCTTTCAGAAAGAAAGAAAGTAGGACTTTCTGGGCAGGACTGCCCTGGTAGTATCTGATAGTACGCTCCTGATAGTATGGGACACCATTCTGATGCCTCATCACAGGCTTAACTCTTAAACCCAGTGGATTTAAGAGAATCAAAGCTGACAAATACCTCTCCACCATTCTTCCATGGGAGGAGGAATAAACTCATCTGATGGATCTGAGGAAGCCGGAACTGCACATCCCCTCTAGGCACTCTCCTCAGGAGAGGGTGACTTCTCGTCTGCTCCTGTACATAATCCAATAATCACGGCTGGGTGGACTCTCAAGGGCACTCTTGCAACTGCCCGGCTCTTTCAGTGATGGCACAAAAAGTGCGAGCAGACCCTCTGGCAGAAGCTCTCATGTCAGTCTTCCAATCTCGATTTCATCAGAAATAAAGCAAACATTTTGATCTCCACCTCCAGGACTCCTAAATCTTTGTATTGGATTTGAACTCAGGAGCAAAACAGGATGCTATTTATTAGGCCCCAGGTACATGTTATGTTTCATTTGAAAATGCCTATGTAATCATGACAATAGAGGCCACCTGCTACAAGAATTATGTGGGGAAACCCTTGTCTGAGTAAGAGGACATATGCAGATACTTACAACATCAGTGTTTTTGAAAAGTAGAGTCCTTTCTTCAATGAACTCTAATATGGAGCATCAGTAGACAAAATCAGTAAGAGTGAAACAAATTGGTTAAGAAAGTGTGGGGTTTCTTAGAGTTCATCCTGTTGTCATGCTCCCTCCACCCACTCCCCAATCTTTCCTTCCTCCAACTCCAGGGGATCCCTAGAGGAGTGGTCTCCAAAGTTTCTGACACCAGGGGCTGGTTTCATGGAAGACAATTTTTCCACGGAATGGGGAGGGGGGTTGGGGGAGGTGAGGAGCTCAGGCGCTGATGTGCAGCCTGTTTCCTGACAGGCCACAGACAGGTGGTCGAGGCCTGGGGGTTGGGGACTGCAGCCCTAGAGAAGTTCAGAACACAATAATGGAAACCTTGTCTTTGATAATTAAACACTAAAAAGTTCCTCTGCTACTCTCCTCATGAAGGATGAGTCACTTCTGTGCTTGAGAGATTGTAACTGGCCTTGCAAAATGACCCCCTCCCCTAAGTTATTTTTTGTTCCCTCAGACTTTACCAGTCAAGCCTAACAACCAGACTTAACCAGCCTCTCCACAGGACTCACTGCCCATCACCAATGGCTGATTCTCGAATCAGCCCACCTGAAGACTGAGTTCAACCTCCGCAAAACCTGACCTGCATTCCACAGCCCACTATGAAAGCCCTTGACGAGCCTCAGTTAAGGAGATGGATTTGAGACTATTTTGCCCATTTTCCCAAGAAACATCTTTTGCATTAAAATTCCTTTCTTCCTTGGAAGTCCTCGTCTGATTAACTGGCTCTCTGTGTGGCAAGCAACGGGACCTACCCTGGACCCTTTTCTGGGTTCGGCAACATGATCAAAACTGAAATCCAGACCCACAGGAAGGGATGCCCCTCGCTACTTGAATTCTCTCTCTCGGGTCATTTCACTGCAAGAACAGGTTTAAAAGCTCCATTGAAGAACTAGAAGAGATGCTATCAAAGCCATTTTGCTACAGTAATTATAAGATTTATTCAGTTCCTATAGAAGATGAATATAATGACCACAGAAAAGCAGCCCCATTAAAAAACAGACGTATTCCAAACTGAAAGTATGTTTGCAGGTCATATAAATTCTCACCGTGCAAAGTCTGATCTGTCCCCAGCACATTCCACTCTGCTGGCAGCTTCAGGTGTCTGAATGCTAGTGCCACCTTCTCATCGAGGGAATTCACATCCCCAGATGGGGGTCCTGACCGGTCAAGAAAGCGGGTGAAGTTCAGAGCCTGCTGATTTCCAGCACTGGTTGCCAGGAATTGAGCTGCATCATATGCTTCATCCTGGACGAAATGGAAGTCTTCTTCAGCCACCACAAATACGGGAAGGCCCTCTTTGGAAGCACACAGCAGCACCTTCACTGTCTCACAGCAGTCATGACCTACAGAAAACACAGGCAGAAAAGAAAACTGTATTAGAGACCCCCTGCTGAAAGGACTCTGGTGGGTCCTCTCAGCTCTTTTTCCATGGTATACAAATTTCTCCTCCTAAAAGAAAACCCTCCTTCCTCTGAGCTCTGATAGCATTTTTCCAAACTTCTCAAAACTCCATTTTCAGGTTTTTAAATTACTTGCAAATATGATTCAGTTCCCTTAACAAACAATTCTGTGTCCCAGCTTTCATCATGTCTATATCATAGCACTTGGCACTGAACAGGCTCTGAATATCAACTACTGCTATTCAATTTGAACAAATTTAAGAATGAAGGCTCAAGGATCCTGCAAGGTCTAGCACACAATGGAGCATCTAATACCTACTGAACTGAGTTAGATCTGAAACTGTAACAGGGAAAAACGTCACTCATACAAGTTACATGGGAGGAATTTTACAGATTCACCAGCACTTGCTTTGTTATTGCCACAATACAACAGATCGAATGACGAAGCACTTTGAAAAGTACAAAACTGTTTGATTCATTTTACTATTACTAGCAATCCAAGACCTAAAAAATAATTTTTGTTCTCAGATACACATTCTCCCTTGTCTCATCCACTGATGCAGTGAGGACCTCAATGAAATCACCTGGTTCACACGTGGATGATGCAATGCTGTGGCTAGAAGCCCACTTCAGGACAAGCAAACATGACAAAGACTCTGTGGAGCCCACTGTATAGATCTGCAGGGATCTCACAAGCTGTGACTTTAGGCACAACCTAAATGCCACCCTAAAGAGCTCAACTGGGGCCAAATTAGCAAACTGTAACAACACTATGTTTCCATGGGTAAGGCCTTCTTGAAGAACCAGAATTTCTTCTGGATTTCTGGCCTCAATGAATTAAATATTTCCAATATGCAGAATATACTCATCAAAACACACACTGTTTTTCCTCAGCTGTCAAACACTGATCTCAACTAGCCAGAACTATGCTCCTACCATCATTGTCATTCTTCCATAAAACAGCTTTCTGATGAGAAAAAAGAAAAGAACACCGAGTTAATGTTTTTGTTGTTTGCACTATGCCACTCTGCACTCTGCCTGATTAGCCACCGGCACCCATTCACCCCTGGTTCCCTGAATCTCCAACTCCTGTAGAAGCTGCTTTCTGCAGCTGAGTGAAATGGAGAGAAACTCTGTATGTGGTTCTTGAGTCTGAGTTTCCAACAGGCCCACAGAGGTTTCAGACTCATAACAAACTAAGCTCTCTGCTATCTTTGAAAGAAAAAAAAAAAAACAATTTTTTTTCATGTAATCAGAATAGTAATTTGATTTTCCACATACTTTTTCCTAGGGGACTCCTTAAGCCTTTCATTCTTGTGACATAAGAAATCTGTCATTGCTGTGTAATTCTATGGTGGTTACAAGTATTTACCAACCAAGTACCTACTACATGCCAGGCATGTGACATGTCATTTTCTCTTCACAATAATCTTAGAAGGTATGTATTGTCCTCACTTTATAGATGAGAAAACTGAGGCTTAATGAAGTAACTTTCCCAAGGTTACACAAATATAAAAAAGCAGGATCCATTATTCCAAGTCCAGGCTGATGCCAAGGGGCATGGCCGTGATGCAAGGATTTTGTACCACAGTGACTATAAACAGAGGAAGAAGGGTAACAGCCAAGTCCCTGCCTAAAAGGGGCCTAATATTTGGAATGATAGGCCAATATGACTGTTACACAAGAATAACAGGTTCATGAACCATGAAGATCAGTCTTCACACAAACAATTTCATGAGATATTCCCACTGCCTTCCAAGTTGAATTCTTTCTAAGAAGGCTGTAGGAAGCTGAAGTATCTTCTGCCTAGTCTCTGTGTGTGCCCACACGTGTATGTGTTACAATTCAACATATGTATAGAATTGATACATTTACTATATGAAAGAGTAGAGGAAAAAAAATCTTTCTCTGAAAGACAGCCAGCCTAATTACACAGACATCAATGTTAGGAGAAACAAGCCAACTAACTGATCCAGGTAGTAGGGTTTAGGTATTTTTCCAGCAGAAAGTGTTTAAAAATGTTCTATAACATCTTACTAAGTTTTGTTCAACAACCAACAGCTGGACTTCCACCAATCCAGGCACTGTGATCAGAAAGGGGAGGATGGATAAACCTTCCAGAGGGTTACAGTCCACAAGGGAGAATCAAACAAGCTGCAAGCGACTGCAACGTGAGTCAAAATGGGATGAGTTCTATAGGAAACACGTACAGTGCAAGGTTGAGCAGGGGAATAGTTGTGTATGCATTTCAGAGGTAGGCAAAAGCAGGAAGATTTCATAAGGCAGTTAAGAAGGACCTTTGACAAGAACCCTGCTTCCTGACTCTCCAATGCCAGGGGTTCTTCTCTGCAACCCTCAGAACTCTGATGCACTGTCCCTCTCTTTTTTTTGTTATTTAACAAGCACTTAATATTAACACTTGCTGTGTGGTAGACACTATTCTCAGAGCTTTAGCAATTTGTTTCCTTCTCATAACAACTCTATGCAGCAGATCCTACTATTATCCCCATTTGTCAGATGAGTACACTGAGGCACAAAATGTTAAGTAATTTGCCCAAGGTTATAAAGCTCTTAAGTGGCAGGATTAGAATCTGAACCCAAATTTCCTTGCTCTAGAGGCCACCCCAACACACAACATGTATGAATATTTAAGATGGCTTAAAGACTAAGTAAGGGTACATGGAAGAATCAATGGGAAAGTAAGAAAACATGTTTACTCCTGGCTATTAGACTCATCAGCTGTGTGATAAGAGATCACCTTGCTCCTCTGGGTCTCAATTTCTTCCTTTATAGCATGAGGGAGCAGGCTCTACAGGTTCTAAGGTTTCTCCAGCTGTACCTGCCTATGGGTCTCACCAGGCAGAAGGGAGGGAGGGAAAGAAGGTTGGGAAGAGCTTTCAGGAATAAGAAACAGCTTTTAAAAAAATAAAAATGGAAAGCAGAGGGTTAAGTTCAAGATATAGAACTACTACTACAAGAGATAGTCTTGGGAAGATATTAACTAGGTTACATCTAGATGTCCAGTGGATAAAAGAGATCTGAGTTCAAACCTGTTTTTGTACTTACTAGCTATATGGCCTGAGGTAAATAATCTCTCTTGTACTTCCAAATCTAGACAGTCTCCTAGCCTTGTAAGTGAAGAACTATAATCTAGAAGGGCCCTCCCAAACTCTTTAATACTATCACCTAAAAGAACATATTTAATTTCCTCACTTAATTTCCAAATAAATTGGATGGATGGAAGGGTTTAGTAATATGGATTTCAGTCAGAGGAATTGCTTTAAAGAAAAAATACTGTGGTGTGGTTCATGAATCTAACCAATATACAGCCCTGTCCCATTTATTCAGAATTAAACTAATGTATAAACTTCTCACAGTACTTTGAAGTAGATAGGAAAAAATGTCAATAAACACTAAAATCCCAAATTTCAAAATTCAACAGTGATGACGTACATAATTTAGGATCCCAACTGAATTCTGCCTTCAAAACTTAAACTTGCTGTGCCTCAGAAGAGATATTGCACTCAACTAAAATAATATCCACTGCCCCATCCACCTACGCAGTCCTTACTCTTTCTTACCAATCTCTTTCCTCAAGCCTATGCAAAGATCAGAAACCTGAAAACTTGAATCAGAAAAGGAACCGCTAAAAGTAAACATCATCCACTGCTCTTTAAAATTACCTTCTGCACGTGTACACACAGATATACAGAGCAAAAAGCTGAAGTGAAGCAATACTACCATACTCAAATAAAGTGCAGTAAGTATCTGCACAGAAATATATCTGGGAGTGCTAAAACGACTGTTTATTTGGGTAGGATGGGCTGGGGCAGACAAAGCAGAGAGAACAGAAGAAGGGGTGTGTGTATGTCTATGTATGTGTGTGTGTGTGTGTTGTACTTGGCAGTACAAGAATGCTTACCTTTTTCTGCTACTTTAGCAAAAGAATTTGTTAGAGTGGATGGCTGGATGGGCAAGCTATTGTCAGCTCTACTTCTGTATAACTAAAATGTAACTATGTATTAGAGAAGCTAGAATGTCAAAAAAGGCCATGAAACAGACACCCAGGAGAAGCCACTCGATGGTTAGCGAATATTTTCCCTTCATACATGCACGCACAATCTGAAGGAGAAACTAAGAATCACCATGGATGATTATAGGCTTCTTCTTCAAAAGAAAAACTGAGGATTACAAGATGAGTGGAGAACTAAGGGTTTCCTGGATCAGTCTTTATTAAGTTTAACGAGTAAATTAGAAAAGTTACTACTAACAAAGTAGGCTGGGTACAGTGGCTCATGACTGTAAATCCCAGCACTCTGGGAGGCTGAAGAGGGAGGATTACTTGAGCCCAGGAGTTTAAGACCAACCTGAGCAACATAGTGAGACCCCCATCTCTACAAAAAATAAGATAAAATAAATTAACTGGGCATGGTGGCGTATACCTGTAGTCCTAGCTACTCAGGAAGCTGAAAGCAGGAAGATCACTTAAACCCAAGAGTTCCAGGCTATATTCCAGCCCAGGTGACAGTGAGATGCTGACTCTTTTGTGTGTGTGTGTATTTTATATTTATTTTTATATGTGTCTCTATATACATATATATGTAAATAAATAAAAAAGAAAGATGAATAAACTATCTCACCCTACTGACTGGAAATCAACCACTCAAGGTTGGTGGGGCTGCTCTCTCACAGTAATATTTTCTATTAGGCTCAAGTGGCTCTCAAGATTATTTTTTAATTCCTTCAGATAAAACATCTAATGGGAAAATCAGCAACTTTTAAAAACCAAAACTTTTATAATAGGGACCCAGTAATAAAACTAAAATCACTGCAAATGCATGCAGAAGACCTTTTACTACCATAAATTAGCTCTAGAAACATGACTATTTTGCAGGGGACCAATCGTCTTATAACTGCCTTTGCATATAAAGAATGCAGGGTTA